CCAAGGGGAAGTAGGCAATTCACAGGTAGATGAGAAGGAGCAAACATGTAAACAAATTCTTGCTGGACCACCCAGAAAAAATGGGAAACAGAAGGGAAACAAAGAGGCTCTCTGCCAGATCTCTCTCTCTCTCTCTCTCTCTCTCTCTGCCACACTTAATTTATATTATTATGGTAAGGTGATGCTTCCTTTCTTTAAGGAGGTTTTTCTATCTGAATTCCTTTAGGCAGGTAATGAGGAGGGTCAAAGGTTCTGAGTTTTTTGTTTCTTAATAACCGGCTTAAAATCAATATCCCAAGAGGCATATTTTGGGGTGGTAAAACTTTGGTTCCCCTTGAACATGTTTGGTTCCCCATTAACGTTCCTTTGAAGATGGCTCTATTCTGTCCAGCTTTGGCTATATTTCTCCCTGCTCCTTCCCCCAGTACACATGCAAGTACTTTTCAGTCATTCTCCCAGTGTCTTTTCACATCTATTAACAGCAACAAAAACATATTCTAGTTCACTGTACTCTAGAATAGAATAATTAGTGCAACTGATCAATTTTTCATAGACATTAGATTTATTGCTAATTACACTATAACATCTTATTGTTAGGGTGGAGGGTACAAAGTATGTATATAGATAAGGGATTCACAGTCCTTTTAGGAAGAAAATTTAAGTTTAGAAACAGAAGAATTTATGCATTGAATCAAATATTGTCATAGAAAGCCAGGATGCCGTGGACTGCATCCTGGGGGTAGGCCGACATTGATAGACAGGAAAAGAAGTAGCTTAAGAAGTGTGGAAATAGGTAGATAAATAAGAAAATTAAAACTCAGTGGAAGGAAAGGTTTCAGGAAAGAAGGTGATGTAAATGTTATTTTGCAGAGATGATGGAGAATGAGGATCAAAAATGCATTGGAGAGCAATTACAGCAATGGGAAGACAGAGCGAGCAAGGAAAGGAGAGCGATTTAGCTCGTATAGAGCCCTGTTTAAAGTACTTAATACCTTCATGCCCTGGCTGGTGTGGCTCAGTGGATTGAGTGCCAGCCTGCAAACCGAAGGGTCTCTGGTTCGATTCCCAGTCAGGACACTTGCCTGGGTTGCAGGCCAGGACCCCAGTATGGGGTGTGTGAGAGACAACCGCACATTGGTATTTCTCTCCCTCTCTTTCTCACTCTCTTCCCCTCTCTCTAAAAATAAATAAAATGTTTAAAAAAAAAATGTTAGGTTATTACATTTAAAAAGAAAAGAACTTATACCTTCAAGGAAGGGGAGAGCTGGGGCAGTTAGTAGAGTGGGAGGCATGATCTAAAAAAACATGTTTTTAGGTTGAAGGGGAGATCATCTGTGCGTGTTCAGATGCAGATGGGAGAATAATGATGAGAATAGTATACTTTAGGAGCCAAAGAAGATACGGGCTCTAGAGCGGGACAAATAGAACAGCTCATTTTAAGAAGGAAAATGACCAAAGATCTTTTCATCTGTGCCTGGAAGGAGAGGTAAGGTTATGGGCAAAGAGGTAGAAATTAGTCTAGACTGTGAAAAGTTCATACCGTGTGGCTCCAGTAAGGTTAATGGGATTTGCATGGAGATTATTTTGAATAGCTAGCTATTCATTTGTTTACTCTTCAGAAGATGTAATATATGTCACTTTAATAGAGGTACAAAGGTAAAAAAGCTACCACATAAATTAAGAGATATATTTGTATATTGTTCTTTTTATGATCGTTATTCATAGGCTGAGAGCTGGCAAGGAAGGAGTGGACTATGGGGTCTATGTACCATTATAGATTTGCATACCTGAGTGTCTAAGAGGCCGTGGAAGTAGGGTGGTGGTAAAGTTCCTTTGGGTTGGCCAAAAAGTTTGTTTAGTTTTTTCCATGTGAAGGCTGTGGTAGAGCTTAGTTGTCTTTAACTTCATTTGAAACGATTTTGTTAGATTGTATTGTGACAGCTGTCATATCAGCGTGCGTTAAAAAAAAAAGGTCACAATTGGTGAATTTTTTGTGTAGCCATTTTAACATTGGAGATGGAGGAAAACAAGCATTTTTGGCATATTCTTTATTATTTTAAGAAAGGTCAAAAACAACTGAAATGCAAAAAAAAAAAGAGATTTGTGCAGTGTATGGAGAAGGTGCTGTGCATGATTGAAACAGTCAAAAGTGGTTTCGTGCTGGAGATTTTTTGCTGGACAACATTCCACGGTCAGGTAGACCAGTTGAAGTTGATAGTGATCAGGTTGATAACGTTAATTGAGAACAGTCAATGTTACACCACATGGGAGATGGCCAACATACTCAAAATATCTAAATCAATAGTTATTGGTGAAAATGAAAAATGTGTCTTTTATTTTACAGAAAAAAAATCATACGGACTTTTTGGCCAACCCAATAGTTTACTCTGTGGCCTAGGCAGGACGTTGAGTTCGAGGAGCTAATGAACTGAATGACGTTCTTTCATGGTGGAGAGCAACGTGGAGGTGGAAATTTGTGGTGGCGGAATAAAAGAGCTAGAGGAAACTGTGATAGGAGGATGTGGTATCTCAGAGGCAAAGCTTGTAACGATGTAGAATTCAACACACTTGATTGGGAGATAGATCAAGTTCGTTAGGTCAAAATGAACAAAAATTATAGAAGCAGCATAAACATTGTGTTACCCCTGAAAATGAGTTCTTTCGTGGTGCCAAGAAAAAGGAATTTCAAGTGACACATGTGTGGAAAAGTTTAAAGGTGGTGGCAAGATTTCATTGGGTTTAAGGGAAATAACGCGCTCTTGGGGACCTAGAGGTCAGGCAGGCTCTAGCAGCAACTGCCCCGAAGCTTCTCTTAATCCTCCATCTATTTTCTTGGTTCTTGGTAATGAATATGTTGCCATTCAGACCGTCCAACCCAACTTTCTGATTCTTCCTGGGCTTGAAACATGTTCCTATCCTCCCTCTCTCCACCCCTTCCCGCCAATCATCCCTTTCTGTGACCTACTGGGGTTCCCTGAACTCTTCCCAATCTGATTACTTTTGTAGTTTTTCCCAGGCTAGGCTCTGCCCCCTTTATGTTGCCATTTTGATTTTTACTGCCATGTCCAAAAGTAGAAACACCATCTTGGCTTCTATTACACATGTCAGAAATTTGTTACGTTATCCGCTTTCCATTGCGCCTGTGCCAGGAGAGGAATTCCCCCTCCTCCTTGCTCTGATATCCAGTACCATGCCAGACCAGCGGCACCCTTGGGGAGATTCCCCGTCTGCTCTGACAGTTAAATCCCCTCAATGATTAAACCCCCTTGTCCGCAGCAGTCCCCTGGAGTGTGTGAATCAGTCTCTAAATGCAATTGCATCCAAGTAAGCTTAATGCAGTGCTGTCTTAATATCTGATTCGGCTTCCCAGTTTATTAAGTTTAATATCTGATACCCTTTGCTCGCTCCCTTATTAATAATTAGCTAATTACCTAAGCTAACAATCATACCAGAAATCATCTTAATTGCCAGAATCACAAAATTGGCTGGCACGTCACAAGTCATTATCACTATATTCTATGTAGCATGATAGGAAAATCAGCTATTGTGACTTTTTAAAAAGTAATGGATTTTATAATGTCAGTAAGCACCATTTTTGGTTAACTTGAGAATAACATTGTGGGTGCAAATTCTATTTTGTTTAAAATTTTTTTTTATTTTTACCGAATAACATTTTTTCATTGCTTTTTTTTTGTTTTTTTTTTTTTTGTTTTTTGAGAGAGAGAGACATAGAAAGAAACATGGATGTGAGAGAGAAACATGTATTGGTTGCTTTTTTGTTTGTGCCCTGACCGGGGATCAAACCCACAACCGGTGTATGTGCCCTGACTGGGAATCGAACCTACAACCTTTTCGTTTGTGGGACAAAACTCCAACCAACTGAGCCACACAGTCCAGGGCTGCATACTCTGTTTTTAACACTCTTTCTGAAAGCTGAATTTCACTTTAACTTACTATCTATTAAAATATTCATTGTGATACTTTTGGTCTTACAAGAAATGTATTAAAATTGTTTTTATTGATATATGATATGCCTAAAGAAATAATTGGATAATAATGGTGTAAATAGCTAAAGATCCTAGGATTAGTGTAATAAACCAAGTACAAAAAAACTCTTCATCCTTTAAAATCTGTTTGCTCTTGCTACGTTATACCCTCTGACTGTAATGACTTGGCGTGTGTTTTATAGTAAGTACCATTACTTTCTTAGGATTATCAGCTATACCAGGTCTTTCAATGGACAGTGTTGGGAATAATTATGTTTCTGTCTCCCTTCCCACAATGTGATGAATCTCATTCAGTCTGCAGATTGATTGCCAGCCTGATGATTCCTATTTGCTCTTGCTTAGGAACAAAACAGTTGACTTCCTGTGAACTGAAAGAATGACTGTATTTTTGACAAGGCCCCTATGAAAATAGATGGCTACTTAACAATAGCCAGAACCAATGTTTTGTTATGGGAACATTGAATTCTTACAGACAAGGTGATCAGATGTCCTGATTTTCCGGGGACAGTTCTGATTAGACCTACTGTTCCAGCTTCCTATCCAGTTATCACTCCTCTTCACTCTCAGAAATGCTATCATTTGGATGATACGTTATATGGTCATGCAGCTGTGGGTCTCATTTTGAGATTTAGTATTTACACCTTGAATCATTAGGTGGAGATGTATCTTAATAATTGTAAGAAGCAGCTTGTGGTTAGTTTTGCCTATTGTAAGAAGTTTAGAGATGGTTGAATAAAGCCACTGGTTTCTATGACTTCACTGTCTGTATAATGTTATAAAAAGTGTTATAATTTGTACAGGATTTGGTACTTGGTATTTGAATTCCGCAGGTATGTTGTGATACATTATTTAACCCGGATGAATACATCCTTAATATCGTCTGCTTTGAGAAAGGAAAGAAATACTGTAATGTTGGGCCTTGGATTTATGAAATGTTGGGTATAAAACATTCATCTCTCAGTGGCTAAGTCTTGATTTCCTTTCTTCAAACAGCACTAACATTCTGAGGGAGCCTGTATGTTTAGGAGGATGTGAGCACATCTTCTGTAGGTAAGTAGTTATGGCTTGGTATATATTATATATATGTAGCAACAGTAGTTTTTTTACTAGTAACAGTCATATAATCATATTGATGACAATATTTCTTATGTTCGTGTGACTGTCTTAGACTGCAAAGAAACTTACTATACATTACCTCATTTTGACCCTTATAACTATCTTAAATTACAAATAAGAAAATCAAAGCTTAAAGAAGATGACTTGATCAAAGTTTTAAAGTTTAATAAGCAGCTTTGCTGAACTTGGGGGAAAAATTCGTATCAGATAATTCAAATATGTGTCTTTTTTTGCCTTCTAGTTAGTTTTGAATCTACTTTCCAAGTTATGAAAGTCTAGTTCTTACAGTTATTGTATTAGGTTCCTAGGGCTGCCATACAAAGCACCAAGAACTGGGTGGTGTAGAACAACAGAAATGTATTGTCTCTCCCTCGGGAGGCCAGAAGTCTGAGGTGTCATCAGGGTCGATCCCTCTGAGGGCCGGGAGGGAGACTGTGTTCCATGCTTCTTCCCTGCATTCTGGTGGAGGAGCTGGCTTCTGGAAGTCTTTGGCATTCCTTGGCCTGTAGATGCATCACTCTGGCCTTAGCCTTCATGTTTACATGGTATTCTCCCTTGTGTGCATGTTTGTCTTTGTCTCTATATTTCCCCTTTTTATGAGTACCAGTTATATTGGATTAGGCCTCACCCAGATGATCTCATCCTAACATGATGATCTGCAAAGGCCCTATTTTCAGATTAGAACTCATTCCCAGGTGCTGGAGGTAAAATGTTGTGGGGGACACCGTTCCAGCCACAACAGTTATTGTGAAATTATATCCATGTTATAACATGAAAGCTCTGGTTTATAGATTAGAATATTAGATTTTCATTTCATCCTGTTTCTTATTCAGGAGAAATCAATTTAAGGACTGAACATCTTAGCTTAATTGTCTTTGAGCAGGGTTAATATAGCCTTCTTTCAATCAATCTGTTAATTAGTTCAGGTTATGACTGTGAAACTATCTGGCATGAGCAAACTGCAATGTGGGCTTTAAGCACGCGTGAAAACAACATACTGGGCAACTTCAGTGGGCTGGGGATGTGTGGGAGGCAGCTATGCTTGGGGTCCCAACTTTGTTTCTAGAAACATAGTTCTGTTATGTGGGGAATATCCAGCAGGAAGTAGGAAACAATACCTGTTGCCTACCTGATACCTCCATTTGGATGATGAAAGCGTTTTGGGGTTTGATACATTCAGAGTAGATCTGTCCATCGTCATCCTCTTTAACCTGTTCCTGCCTCACTGATCTTCATTGTAATGAGTGGTACTACGGATGGCAAAGTTGTTCAAGGCAGAAACCATCTGATTGCTCATTTTTACCTTATCCCACATCATTATGTTCTGTCAGTTTCACCTGAAAATGTGCCCTAAATCTTGAATTTCTCACTTTTCTCTCTATTTACTACTGTTTATACTTTGGTCCAAGCTATCATCATCTTACCTCTCTACAGACAATTGTTACAAGTTCATAACTGGTTCCGTTCCCCACTTCCCTCATTCTTGTCAGTGATCTATTAAAAAGGTAAATCACATCCATACCATTAGCCTCCTTAAGATCTTTCTGCGGCTTCCTATTGTGATTAGAATAAAATCCAAACTGCACTAAGGTCTGCCAAACCCCGGACAGGACCTAGTCTGTGCCTGCCTCTCAAACCCCACTTCCCTCTGGCTCACCTGTTCCAGCTGTGCCCTTTAAGTTTATGCCGCCGCAAACTCACTCCTGCCTCAGGACTTTTGCATGTGCTATTTCTTTCATCTGAAATGTATTTCTGTCAAATTTGTGTGAGGCTAACTTCATCAGTTACAATGTCCAACTCTTCCAAAAGGCCTCCCATGATCTGCTTATGAAACCATACCTGCTTCCTGTTTCCACATGTAGCAAGCAGATTTCATTGTTTCAGCTGATGCTCTCTCACTGTGCCTAATATTAGATCACTGACAAAACTGCTGGAACATAACAAACTCTATGAAATTGTATGTAAATGTGTGCATGTGAGGAGGGAGGGGAGAGATCCATACCTGTTTGTTTGGATTCTAAAGGGGTCTGAGACTTAAAACGGCCAGTGAAAGATTAAGAGAGACTTGAGAAACCTTAAAAGAGACAATGGTCATCTTTAGATGGCATAAACATAGGAAGGAAACAGTACTTCAGTACAGTTTTGGTTCATTTTGATTCTTTGAGGTCAAGAATTAGGTAGCCGTTTGTGTTCTTTGCAGATTTGGAGTTGTATAAAACTGCTGAGCAATGTCATAAATACCTTGCAGTTTGAAAAGATCTTTTTGATATATTCCAGTCCAGCTGAAACATACAAGTGGGAAAGGTTGGAGAGGCAAATTTTTATATCATTGATAGTGTTGTGTAGTTTCAAGGTGCTTTGTGCCAACTCCTTATAGAAGTAATCCACATACTTACTCACTTTAAGAAATAAGTCACTTGAGGCATAGCGAGGGGATTCAAATATTTTGGTATCAGACCACTTTATGCTCTTAAAAACTGAGGACCCAACAAGCTTTTGTGCATGTGTGTTTGTATGTGTGTGTATTTATCATATAAAAAAGAATTTTAAAAAATACTGGTTCATTTAAAAACAATAAACCCATTGCACGCTAACACAAATAACACTTTTAAGGAAAAAAAATAGTTTTTACAAAACAAACGAAAGGAAAAAATACTTAGAATGGCAGTGTTTTGCATTTTTGCAGATTCCCATATCTGCTTATATATTCGGTCTGTTGTGATATTTAGTTTTAATTGAAATATATGAAGAAAATCTGATCTTACATGTATCTGTTGTCGGGAAAAGGAGGATAATTTGATAATTATGGATATTCTCCTTTGATATCACTTCTTGGCAAGTGAGAGTCTCTTAAAATTCTAACAGTGTTGAATCTAAAACCATGTCAATGGGCTTCTTATTCTGTTACATTAAATTCTGTTGGTTTAATGCTGTACTTTGAATGGTTCTTTTATCCAAGCATGATTTTATGACATCATATATTGGTCATTTGGGATATACTGGCTCACCCAATCATGCAGATTTACTGAGAAATTACATATTTCCCCAGAACTCTGGGTTAATGTGTGTAAAATAATTTGAGAATAGTTATAAGACAGACATTATATTATAGACTAGATAAAATAGATCCGAGTACTGGTGCAGTGCTGGATGTCTTTAACTAACTGGATCTTATTTTCTTCATCAGAAAATGAGATAACTTTTAATTTTATTTATTAATTTTTTTTTTTAGGGGGAGAGAAACATCGATTTTGTTGTTCCATTTAGATGCATTCATTGGTTCTTTTTTACTTTTTTTTTTAATTTTGGAGAGAGGGGAAGGGAGGGAGAAAGAGAGAAACATTGATGTAAGAGAGAAACATCGATTGGCTGCCTTCTGCACACAACACACCCTGATTAGGGACTGAACTCACTACCCAGGCATGTGACCTGACCGGGAATCAAACTTACAACCTTTCAGTTTGCGGGATGATGCCCAACCAACTGAGCTACCCTGGCTGGTGCCATGGGTCAGTTCTTTCATGTGCCCTGACCAGGGATTGAACCTGCATAGTTGGTTTATCAGGGTGACACTCAAGCAACTGAGCTACATGGTCCAGCGTTGTAATGGTTTTTGATGAGTGAATTTGACTGTTTTTCACTAGTGTTCCTCAAATGATTAAATACTGCACAACAGTTGACTTAAATCTTCTGAGGAATCACTTTACATACTTTATATGTTCAGGTTCCAAGTGAAGAGTTCTTAATTATGAGCAAACAAACTCAAAGAACTTCCTTTAAAGAAAGGAATTTTACGTTTATTGAATTCAGTGATCTCAGCTGTCTCATCCAGCCCCAGTATAGTTTATAGATACACTTTACAACATCTGTTGTGTTACTTTGATTCAGAAACAAAGATTGGAAATGCCTCAGGCTATTTCTGAAGGGAGGTCATATTGTAAGAATCCTCTGTGCTATACATGAGTGGACACAGGAAGAGGAATAGAGTGTTTGGGGGAGATGAGGCTCTAATGACCATCACAATACACAGTCCTGCTAGAGCCTGTCTGGAGGCTAAGGAAGAAGTGGATCTATAGGTTCCTGATTTTGAAATTCACAGATAGACCTCAGAGGAGATTTGTGATCCACTCCCCCCTCCACGCCCACTTTTTTTTTTTTTAAACAAGAGCTTGTATATGTCCTCATTAGATTTGCAAAGGGTTTTAATCCCTATAGTTAGGAAAACCCTTCTAATTATGAGACTGTAACTCCTGGATAGATAATCCAAGGGAATTTAATTGAATCTACAGTTATACTTGTACCTGTAGGAACCAAAGATCTTTTCTCAAAAATGACTAAGCCTTTAGACACTTGTCCAAAAACAAAACAAAGAATACCTTTCCCGGTCTCTTCATGGTAATTGTAGGTATTTTCATAAAGCTCAGTGGTCAGGTTTAGGATAGAGAGGTTGAAAGGCATGGTTGTTATGTTTTAAGTTCTAAATATGTTTTTTATGTCTTCCTCTAGGCTCTTGGCCTTTAGAACCTATAGATTTATTGGCAGGGAAAAATTATACAGACTGTATAATGTCTGGCTCTGTAGTCTCTTCATTGCAAATAACCCGAGCAACTTTAGATTTTGTGTATCACACTCTAAAAAAAAAACCTTTTAAAAAAATATTTATAATTGCCCATTGTTAGAACAACCTTTTCTTCATTTACTTCTCTTCAAACACTTTATTTTTTAGAATTCATATTCTGCTGAATGCGTTGATAGTTATACATATGTATTTTTAATCCTTTTAAAGTAACTGTGTAAGTGACTGCATCGGAACCACATGTCCAGTGTGTAACACGCCAGCCTGGATACAAGATGTGAAGATAAACAGACAGTTGGACAACATGATCCAGCTTTGCAGTAAGCTTCGAAGTTTGCTGCATGAGAATGAGCTTTCAGGTGAGAAATACCGCTGTCTCTCTTAGTTAAATAGCTGATGAATTCATATTGATCACATGAAGTGTATAAACATCTGTCTGGACTTCTGAATGTCATATTTCAGATTTTCAGATTATAGTGTTTGGAATCATTTTGAATGACACATACCTTAGATATAATTAAGTCTGATTACCATGTTCATAGGTGAGAAACCAAGGTCCAGAAAGGTTAAATGACCTTGCCTAAAGTCACACGTAGTAAGTACAAGAAGTAGGAGAAACAGAGCCCATTTCTTCTGATTGTCAGTTCAGAGACTTTTTTACCACCTTCACTGCCTGCTTTTTTCAGTTATAACAGTTTCTGTATATTATATGTAGAGTAACGATTTTGTCCTTAATATTAGTGTTTTTGTCCTTAAACTCACTTAAATGCACTTTTAAAAGAGAATATAACCTTCTTCCATAGAGCACTTTTCTAAACTGAATTAATTAGATGAGCACATTTTGAAAGAGCAAAACTCTAATATTCATCTTTTTTCTGTTCAAATGGGGGTTAGTGTTTCCCAAATTGTTCTTAGACTCTGTGTATTACTGTGTATCTTCCCATTGTGCTTTCTGCTGAGAACTAATTAGCTGTGGAACTTAAAGTGTTTTGAAGCTTCATAATTAGATTTTCGAATTGTCCTTTTATTGACCAGATCAGGTCATTTTAGCTTGTGTTTCTATATAGGAGAACCTCTTCTTGACTGGCAGGATGCCACTAATGATTGATAATGCTCATATAAAAAGGCTGGGTTTCTGTTTTAAAATCTTTTGATCTTAGTTTTCTCACATGCTGTCAACTATTAAAGGTGAAGTGATTGGACAAAATGAAGAAATAAGGCAAACACTTTGAGTCTTATTAACCAAGTCTGTATTTTTAAGAAAAATTAAAATCATAGGTACCTACAAAAAGCCGTCTTTATCTAGTTATCTGGTTATTATATTAGACTCCATTCTGTTATGATAAGATTGCTATAGGGATAAAGTTTTACTGATTGTCAATTGTAAATATACACATACACATTTTTAAGAGTACTTACCTTTTTGAAAAAAAAATATTGTGTTGTAAGTCTCTTCAGAGCACAATGAGGAAGAGTTTTATTATTAAGTTCATCTGTATTCTTCTTACTGGGGACAGTGCTAATAGTGTTTATTTCCTAATGAAAGAGATTAGTGTATGACCAGTCACCTCCCCACCCCCAGTCACATTGTTTAAGGCAGCAGTTCTTAATCAGGAGCTCCTGCGGCTTTGGCTTTGGCAGTGATGGGGGTGGAGGGAGTTAAGTGTACAATATGAAAAATGTTCATGTCTCTGTGAAAGTGGTTTTCATGAGATCCTTACAGATGTGTGGCCTGTTAGGAATGTTGACCAAGCGCTGGAATTTGGGGTGCTGTTTCAAGATTTGTGCCCTGTCAGGATGTTCTGATTCAATTCTTCTCCCGTGGCTGCGTAGTGATTATTAGTGCTGATACAGTGCTATCAGCTTGCTCGGGCTGCCCTGACAAAGGAGCCCACCACACACTGGGTGGCTGAAACAGCAGATGGAAGTCTGAAATTGAGGTCTGGGGAAGGTTGGTTCCTGCAGGATCCCGAGGGTAGGGTGTGTTCCAGGCCTCACTCCCTGCCTGTAGGTGGTGGCATTCCTGTTCTCAGGCGTTCTCCCTGTGGGCGTGTTTGGGTCAGATTTCTTTCCCCTTTTAAAAGGAATACAAGGATACCATTCATACTGCAATGGAATCCCACCCTGCTCTTTTTCATGAATTCCATCTGTAATGACTCTGTTGCCAAATAAGGTCACATGCTGAGGTGTTGTGGGTGGGACTCCTGTATATGAATTTTAGGAGGGACACAGTTTAACCCATAACAAGTAATGTGACATTTTTGATGGTGAAAGAAGGGAGGCAGAGTAGTCCTTGATGAACAGTAAATTATGGCAGACAGGGGTACCTGGTAGGCGTCATGGGCTGCAAAGAATAAGATAGACGACTTCTCCAGAAATCTTACCATGTAGTGATGTTTGAATCATCATTATGGTAATGAAATGGCTTAATATTTCATCATTAAAAAAGATACTTAGGAAAATTATTGAGTTTATAACAAGTTTTTGTGTGGGATCTGAGGTCTTTTTGAATGCCATCTTTCTCATCAAAGAGTAGGGGAGAGTTTGGTGAGAGAGTTACGGCGATTTGTTTTCTGAGGGCTGTTTTTGTATTTGTTTTCCTTGTTATATAATGAGTAATTACTTCAGCCCTTACCAGGCTTCAGTAGTACTGGCTTTAACATTACTTATTTTAAGATGAATTGAAATGTCACAGTTTGGATAATACATCAGAATTTCAGGAGCTGGGAAGTTGTTACCTTTAATCCTTTGCTCTGTAGATGAGGAAATTGAGGACCTAGATTAAGCAAGGCAGTCATATTGGATGAGTAACTGTCTTGCTTTTTGTTTTATCTTTTAGCCCATTGCTTTTGTGCAAAGTATAGGTGTTCATTATGTTTGTTGAATTAAGTTGGAGAAAAATCGGTAGTGCTAGGATTTCATCACATCCCTAAACTTAATTAAAACAAAACAATTTTAAAAGATTCTTAGGTTTTGGTTTTGACAGTTCATTTTATAATGGCAAGACACTCCTTCTACTTTTATAGAAGTTGATAAATGTAAGTTCTATCTAAAATACAAATTTTTTACTCAGATCTAATTTCCATGGTGCAAAGCTCTTTCCACTGTCATCAGTAAATTCCACTGTCATCAACTTTCTCTCCCAATGTCCCTTAAAGCAAACTTGCCTTGAAGGGCATTTGAGTTTTTTTTAATAGTTTATCTATTCAATATATTTTATGTGGTAACTTTATGTTAGTTTATCTAGCCAGTACTTCTAAAACTAAAGTGATCTAAAGTGAATGAGGTGAGTAGAGAGAAATAATAGTTGGATCAAGTAATGGTTCATCTTCTTTATAATGAGGAAATTGGAAATGATCTCACAGAATAAAGGTATTAGATTAAGTGATTCCTAAGGTCTAGCTCCAGAATCACATGGTTAAATGGTCAGGTGTTGAAGATAAATTAAGAGGAATGGTTGGACATCTCCCATATTTTCTCTATTTTTTTTAAATGCGTAGTTCACAATTTATCTTCAAAATGAACCTTATTTGCATTTACTATAAAATATATAATTACTGTAATTAAGCTGGATAACTAGGAAGAACTTGTCAAGTCATGGACATAGTATGTGGTATATACTGGAGATAAAGAAGCCTGATTTACAGTAATACTTTCTAAAATGAGCTTCTAAATACTTGAACAGATTTTTCTCAGTTCAATGTATTTTAAAGCAAAGGGACTGTCATAAATTTTCTGACAACCATTTATGGATAATTTTGCCGTATTCTTTATAACATAATCTGCTTTCTACTAATGGAGTTAAATTTAAATGTTTTTATTTTCTCTTGGCTCCATGATAGTAAATCAGACCTTGCAGGTGCTGGTCAGGTTCTGTGAAATACATGTTGATATTGGTGACATTAAAAATAAAAAATGTGATTATGCTTTCATAGGACCACAGTTTTATTTTCTGGTTTCAGGAGAGATGCTGGTCTTTCTGTGGCGAATTGTATAGTGTTTCATATATGCTATGACTTTTTTACAATAGGTGAAGATGAGCATTTGAATATCTGTGTTGCTTTTATTATTATTATTCTTTTTAGATAGAACTGAATCCTTCCTAACTTACAAAATAATCATTCTTCAGTGAAGGCGTTAATGTTGCACAGATGGTAGCCAAGTACTTTCCTTTGATTTTTTTAATAAGGGGCTAGTTTGTCAAAGAGATTTCTCAACTTCTGTTGTGAAACCTATAATAGAGGATAATTTGAAAGGCACACAATGTACATCATTATAATCCTTTGATGTAGATTAATGATCGTGAAATCACATTTTCTAATTGCCTCCCTTTTCTATAGTTTATTATTCAATTTTAAGAATAAACTTGGCTTAGCAGCTCCTTGGCAACATGTGCACCTCTGTTCCTGGATAGTTTGTGGAGTACTCAGAAATGTTTAAATTCAGAGAACAGAATCCTTTTAAATGTCATCATTGTGAAATTTACTATGTAGAGGAAGGACCAGTATTTTTCTTCATGAAATGAATATGGTAATTTATAATGCTTAGAAGCATTCACCCATAAAAGCTGTTGTAGCTGTTAATAGTGTACTTTATGTTCCAACAGTGGTGGTGGTGGTTTTGCTTTTTATAGTCTCAACGTAGAAATGCTGTGTAAAGTCCAGAATTTACAGCACATTTGTTGTTGTGGCCCTTCTTTAGTTAGGACAGTATGCACAATTAAAATATTCTTGACTAAATTTAGTATTACTGGATGACTAGTGAAATTGTTGTGTACCTATAAATTACATGAATATATGCCGTCTTCATTTACTGCTTTGTTAGTTAAGAAAGATGAACACCTGGGTGAAATTTGTTATCTTTATAGATTTAGATTTTTTAGTCAATCGAATGTGTTGCTGCTACTTCACAAGCCTTAATTTTTTGTTAAATGCCTAATTCTACATTTTGTAAGTATTGTAAGCATCAAGGACTTCAGGATTTGACTTTTTAGTTGAAAATGTCATTATTTATATTTAAAATAAATCAAAATAAAGACAAGTTTTTACAGACTACCAGAGGATTAACCTTTACTCTTTGTAATCCTTAGTCTTTCTTCAAAAGTAATCCTGGTAACATTTCATTTTGACCTTTCCTCTAGATTTGAGATTATATCAGAAATGACTTAGTTTTGAAATCTACTTATCACTGCAGAGGAAAGACCTTGTTGAATTTAGACATTAAGTCTCCCTGTGAGTGGATACCTCATTCTGTTTGTTATGATTTCCAAGATCCTGTCCTAGTAACACTTTGGAACCAGGTGAAGCTCAGCTAGGACATAGGAAGGATGTCCGAGGGTCTGCCCTTCTTCAGACACACA